TGTGGAAGATGGCGACAGCTTTCAAGAGCTAGTGAGGTACACTGAGCCAAAGCTAGCGCCAGTCACGGCACTCTTGGGCTAGTAATGAGCAGTAAATATACATTTCCAACTTCAGAACTATAAATATAGTTGTCAGCCCTTTGGCTTAAACGAAACTGGGTTCTTATGTGGGGTATGTTTATGGTTTCAGGCTGTTTTTCTTTCACATATGCGCTGACGCCTGACTTCACCTATCAGTACTATGATGCACAGTACATACAAAAACCACTTCTTAATATCTGTGTGTTACTACAGAACTCAGCTGATGTGCACACGCAAGAGTGCAAATATCAAGTATTTTATGATGAGCTGGAATCTGATTTCAGAACCAAATCAGATTTCAGAACCAGAACTATACATTTAATTATAATTGATCATTTGATGGTTGCATCCTTGATTTTAGGCTTGCTGGTTAATGATTAACCTCTGATTAATAATGGTTGGTTATCAGTCAAAAGCATTTGCTAAAAGTATATATTTTATGTTTTAGTGTAATCTTTTCAATACAACACATTAGCCTTAACAGTGAAGGCACCTATGAAATATGGAAATGTTACACAAATCAAAGCTACCTTCCATTTTATAGCGAAATAGCCCCCCTTTGCTTTGATGCATCTTCATAAACTCCTGGAGGTCTCTCAAGTAGCTTCATGTGGAGCCACCTGAGATGCTTCTCCACAAGGACTGAAAAAGATGCGCAGATGCTCAGATCTTGTTGGCTGCTGTCGAGAGCAATGATAAAAAAAAAAACTTAAAAGAAAGAACATTTTGTTCAGGAAATACATACATAGACTAGAGTCCGGCTAACTACATATACGTGTCTTAGAATATCAAGTGACACTAGCTGGCGCTGCAGAATGGCAATGTTAGACAGGGAAGGACATAAACGCAAACTCATACGAAGGTTGAGCTGCATAATTCATGCAAAGCTTCTTTTAGAAATGGCAAATTCATCAGGACAATAGCACCTGACAGAGGAGCGTCCGTCTCCGTTCACCTTGCTGCGCCTGACGTCCTTTCCCCTCGTTCAGAACACACCCACAATGCACTGCAGCGTGGCGGCTCAGGCAGCACCCATGAATCCACTTAGAGCAGATTGGTCATGACAACTACGCTTTATTTTGACCACTAACATTATTTTCTTGTCAGGAAACAGAAAACATGTCTGTGTGAGTCTCGAGCTGCAAAGTGCAGCAATCATGAGCAAAACATTACAACCAGGACTATCCTGATACTCTAATCCTGAGCTTCTGGTAGCAGTGAGGGCTGAGAGAGCAGCCGCTGCTATTTTAGAAAGTCGAGACTTCGGCAGAGTTTCTCTCTGCAGAATGTATAGAATGTCTGTTCTATAACGTCGTTCGAGACACAAGTCACGATGCATTCTTACATCCCTCGTCTGTGCATATAACAATACATATGCACCGTGTCCACTCACTGTCCACTCTATTAGACACTCCTACCTTGTCAGTCCACCTTGTAGACGTAAAGTCAGAGACGATAGCTCATCTGCTGCTGCACAGTTTGTGTTGGTCATCCTCTAGTCCTTCATCAGTGGTCACAGGACGCTGCCGACAGGACGCTGTCAGCTGGATATTTTTGGTTGGTGGAACATTCTCAGTCCAGCAGTGACACTGAGGTGTTTAACAAGTCCAGCAGCACTGCTGTGTCTGATCCACTCAGACCAGCGCAACACACACTAACACACCACCACCACGTCAGTGTTACTGCAGTGCTGAGAATGATCCACCACACAAATAGTATCTGCTCTATGAGGGTCCATGGGGGTCCTGACCACTGAAGAGCAGGGTAAAAGAGGGCTAATAAAGTATGGAGAGAAACAGATGGACTACAGTCTGTAATTGTAGAACTACAAAGTGCACCTATATAGTAAGTGGAGCTGATAAAATGGACAATGAGTGTAGAAACAAGGAGGTGGTCATAATGTTATGCCTGATCGGCAATATATATATATATCTATTATGATATATATATTATATATATATAGTATATAATATATATATAAGATATATTATTTGAGGGCTGCAGAATTAAGGAAAGGCTAGGCAAATTTATTTATATAGCACCTTTCACACACGGCGGCCATTCAAAATGCTTTACAAAAGAGAAAATACAAAGATAATTCAAAATTTAAATTTAAAAAGTAACAAAGTAAAGGAGAATGGAAATAAAAACGTTTACATTTTACATCAATTAGATTTTTGACCATCTAAAGTCAAATAAAACCAAATAAAAATCAAATGAAAAATTAAATTAAGATAATAAAGTGCTGTTACAGGAGAAAAGTGCAGTAGCGCTAACAGTGTTTTAACATTTTTAACTCCATGAGACCACCGGTGGTTCCAAAACCGCTTGTCATATTCTTCAAAACTTTCATATTTCATAAGCTACATTCAAAAGCTGGGGGTCGTATGAGAGCTGTAACTGTCTTCTTTCCAGTCAAATAGATGGGTGATGTCATTTTACAACTTTATTATAAAAGAAGCTGAACTCGCAATTTTTTTGTCTACTGAAAGTCGACCCATTTTTCCATAAATCTGGGTATAAACTATAAACAGATGGCGTCTCTTCAGTGATCTGCTCTGTAAAAGTAATTTTTATCAAAAATACAAAGAGTGTCTAAGATTTTTGGCTTTCAGCAGTAAATTGTAAGCATGTAGCAGTATGTGTATGATCATAAAACACACGTTCTGTTAATTTGAGGGGAGCTTTTACAAAAAAATGAATAAAATAATCATTTGCATTTATTTCATGCAGTTACTGAATAATTTGCCTTACAATTTGGCCATGTAAATTTAGATGGAAAAAAACAAAATACACCCTGGTCAGTAAGAGGATAACTTAAAAATCAAGACATTTAACACACATACAGCATTAAAAAAACTGAATTGAATATTGACTGCAAAATAAAAAAATGCACTGAATCTGTTAATACGCACATTGTGACATTCTCACTCCCATGTTTCCATTTCTCACTATATAATATTCTCACACTGAGGTATTAGAAGCCTATTTGCTATTTGAACAGCAAAACTGGTTAAAACTCCCAGCCCTAGCTGTTACGGACAGGACGTGCAGAAGGCCAGTCCTCTGTCCTTCCTCACTGGCGAGGGAAGGAGAGTGGAGTAACACCTGGCCACCACTCTCCTCTACTCTCTCTTTCCCATTTCTCCATTGTCTTCTCTTCATTCTCTCCCCCCTTTCATCTCCAGGCAGAAGCCCCTGCTCTGTCCTCTCATCCTCCTCATTCCCACTCTTAGGAGTCTCTTATCAAAGCGCACCATCTACAACCCTGCTGACACCACGCCAGACACAATGAGGTATTTCTCTGTGCTGCCATATGCGCACAATCAAGCACAACCAGCACAGAATGGAGAGGGTGGACACCAGTGGCCACTCTGAGCCTGAGACAGCACAGCTCTATTTCAGATTCTATACCTTTTTATTTTGTATTTTTTACTGGGCCCAAGAGATCTAAACATCATGTCGCTGATACTGATATTAATTTTGAGTGGCTAAAAATTCTGACAACCCATAAAACTGACCATTTGATTTTAGATGGTCAAAAATGAAACAGACTTCAATAGTTTTAGTTCATCTGTGCTTTATTGAATAAATATGACACTATATAAAATTGTTAACTGTGAGCTGTCAGATATGACTGTCAGTTTTCAATTATAACTATAACAAATGAACAGCGGAAATCTTTCAAAATGTCTGCATAATTCAATTGTAAATATGTAAACAAAGTCATTTGTGATTTGATGTGAAATGGTTCATTGTGGAGAAACTTCGACTCAGACAGTGGTGGTGATAGGAACCAGGAGTCACAATGTCTACAGTGCAAATATAGCCATTTTATTCACTATCCAAAAGACCTGTGAACCTCCGCCTGCCTTCTGAGTTTTAATATTAACAGTGGGAAGTTTTAACAGCGAGAAACCAGTCAGTCATTTTTTTGGGCACTATTTTGCCTTAAAATGTGTTCTAGGCCAAAATTTTATCCCAAAACTGATGTAATATCTCCAGGATCAGGCAGCGTATTCATAAACATTTCATGTAATAACTTTCTGTGCTCTTTTAGAGGCATTAAACTCAGACGTCTGGTTCCTATCACCACCACTGTGAACAGTTCTGACTTAGTAAACTTCTCTAAAACAAAGCATTTCACACCAAACCACTCTGAATGATTCTGTTCACATCTTAATAATTTAGTTATGCAAGATTTTGAAAATTTGGAGGAATGCTAAGTTTGTTATTTTAACCATGTTAGCGCTTTGTGTTTAAATTCTCCAGCTTGTTTGCTGTAATGAAACTGTAACCTGTTACTGCCAACTTAGGAGCCTTGGCAGATTTACATAACAGTGTGAAAGCAATAAATTCCTCACAAATAAGCAATTATCTTCATTATAGAGCAGCATGTTTTCTACAATAAGCCACCTGTTGTCATTATTTTATCTGCAGCATTTTTGCCAATGCTAATCTTACCATGTAACCTTAAAGGTGCTCTACAAGTTCTCTGGTTCCACATACCAAACTTTCCTTATTTAACTACGTGAATGTTAATATACAGTTCTCCATTCTATGGCACCTTTAATATCAGCCCTTTTTTATCAACTAACGACATACCATTCGAACCTCGGTGCACATACTGGCGAATAGAATGACTCAGGTGTTTTAACACAGTGTGAGACACAAGACTAAAAGGACAACAGCTGATTTTAAAAACCATCTTTGCACGTCCTTAAAGTGAGACTGTGTTAGGACTTTCTGGGCTCCAGAGTTTGCATTTTGCTGACTTTCATCACTTCAGCTAAAGATGCAAATGTTACAGTTTTGAAACTCAGCAAGTGAAATCTTTAGAAAGCATCCAACTCTTACCCAAGGAGTTCTCACAGTGATGTAACATTCAGACTTTGTATAAAACAATCAGAATTACTCACTGGATGGGCAGGACGAGGGTGCTGGGCTGGACTTTCGGCCTCCTCTTCGCTGACGCTCCTATCTGATTGGCTGAGCGCTTGAGAGACTGCTGGTTAAGGAGGCTGGAGGCCAGGCCGGCATGATACTGCAACTGAAGAACCAAACAGAACAGATTCAGTTCCACCCTCGCAAAGGAAAGCCTGCTGCACTGGACTGCAGATAAGCATTTCAAATGAAGACCCTGAATGATTCATACTGGTAAGGGATTCTACACAGGAAGACTAAGTGTGCTACTGAGCGACTTACACCCAAAACCACAAGGTCATAGAGCATGTTGAAGGAAAGAAAGATGAGGTAAGACTGTCAATAAGGCTACTTCAAAAGTCAATAAAACCAACTTGCAATGTATTTCAACACCTACCTACTTGGCTATGCTACATCTACCACCTAATTTCTAGACCAGTGGAAGCTGAGGGTGGAGGGAGTCTCATGGGCTTTAAAAAGGGCACAAGAGTGGTCAGAAGTGTGTGCTTCCACATTTCAGAAATGTCCTTCAGTGTCAAGATAGCTGTCTCACTAAAACATGACTATGGACTAAATAAGTGTTTATGGGAAAGTTTGGGGAAAAAAAACGACACTATTTTACCCTCGTATTCCAAATATAATCGATCAGCTGAGGCATGTTTGGTGTCCAAAAACTGCTTCTTTAGCTCTGAAATGGAGCTACAAGGCTAGCGCAGTGAATGAGTAATGAAAGTTAATACTAGGAATGAGTCTGATTTTCTAATTTAAACATCAAACAGTGGATTAGACTTTTCGATAAGCAATGTAGCTTTTCTCTAACGTGGTTAAGTTCTCATATCTAAGTACTACGACATGTCTGAACTCTAGTCCCCACCAGAGGCAGTGAAGCAGGAGCCATAACAGTTGATAAAAAGATTATTTTTTTATGTTTATAAACAATATAATAACATGCTGCTTTGGGGTTCGTAACCTGCCTATAGCTCTGCATAGACCAGGGGTCGGCAACACACAGTTTCAGAGCTGCATGCGGCTCTGTTAATGCTCTGTTGGGGCTCCACAGCAGAATTCGATTTTTAGGTTAACAATAAACCGTCTAAAACGCTGGAGTTAACGTAGCCTATAACTGCTAATTCACCCTTTAACCCTGAAGGTTGGCACTCAGACTACTGGTCACCACAGTAACTCAGATAACAATCTCACCTAGCTAGTAGCTAACGAAAAGGCAAAGATAAAGATTTACGACGCACATCAATAATTTGGAGACGAATGGACTGATTTAAGTTTATAATCACTCCAGCTGGTTTCCTGATACGCTTAATCTGCAACGAGAAACTGTCAAACACTAAAAAGTCATGAAGCTGAAGTTCGAATGCTCAAATTTTCCTGTTGCACCTTAAATTGTGCTGCAGGTACATTCTGACATTCTGTGCCATTTAACGTGAAACGGGAAAATTTGAAAAAGAAGCTGGCGAATGAGAAGCCGACTTCAGCTTCGTAAAAAGTCTAACGTTGAGAGATGTTTTACAAGAAACTGCTCTACTTTTGTGGGAAAGTTTCCTGCTGGAGATGCGAGAAAAGCGGCTGTATATGAGCTAAAGCTTATTAGAGCAAAGTCAGTCTGGATTTTCGTTTATTTATATTTTTTAGCCTGTACATGACTTTAGCACATACTATTTACAGCCAAGACGGTGAAACATTACATCAATAAAATTGGCATGAAACGTTCCCAAGGTGATTGATTTTTATTGAAACTTGACAAAAAGGCTCTTCTTATTAACATTTGGGTTGCCGACCCCTGGCATAGACTTTCCCACTTTGCTCACTGTAATGACAATAAAGTGTTAAAAAGTGAACGGCTACTGCAGGCTTTGAAAATATATCCATAAAACATGCAAATACTAACTCACATGGGCACATGAGTCCTTACTACACTGGAATTATTGTAAAGTTCAGATCTTTATTATTATTATTATTATTATTATTATTATTATTAGCAGTTGGTCCTGAAATCTGGAGGTGCTGCGGCACACTCAGCACCCCCACTTTTCTTTTCTTAAAGCTTTTCTTTTAACAAATGTTTACCAAAATCAGCAACCCCAGTCATCTGCTCCTTCAGGAGGATACTGGGTTAGTTACCCATAACACTCCTTCACAACAAACTATTCCTCCATCTTTTTGTCCGGCCCACTTCCTTACTTCCTCTCTTCCTCCCTGTCTCTCTTCCTCACGAGCAGAACAGAGCGAGCGCCACGTCTTTGGCTTTGAAGTTGCGTCCGCTCGGCGAGGCCTGTCGGCAGCGTTCTTCCTCAAGTGATGAAACGGTGTGAAAGATATCAGCTAGCCGAAATGCACAGGTGTAACACTGTGTCACTCTGCTGTCAGGAGCGCTGCTGATGGATGTGACGGGACTCTGGACGCCAACCATCTGTCAGACCAGGCGCCTGATCCGATATCGCCTCCATCTCGCAGTGGAACACAACCGTGTTTACCGTAACCAGCCTCTCGCTGCTCACCAGAAAGACTGAGAGAGAGAAAAATCCCACTGCCCAAATATGTGTCCCCTACATGAGCACTTAAAGAGCCAATATTCTACTTTTCTCTTGAATTTTTTGTCCTCCTCAAGTCTGTGTGCAGTTTTATCTACCTTAGTCGTGGGCTAGAGGTAAGGGAACCAGCCTGTGACCGGAAGGTTGCTGGTTCAATCCCCTTGGCTGACAGTCCATGACTGAAGTGCCCTTGAGCAAGCCACCTAACTCTCAATTGCTTCCCGGTCCGCTCCGGGCAAGTGTGCTCACTGCCCCCTAGTATGTGTTCACTAGCGTGCATGTATGTGGGTGTTTCACTGCACGGATGGGTTAGATGCGGAGGTCTAATTCCACAGTGTGCAAACTGATGGTTCTGAATACAAAATAAACAGGCTGTTTTGTTACTGTGCTTTTAAAAGGCCCACATCCTTCATTTGTCTATTAATTTTTTTTTTTCCTGAGGTCCACTTATGACATTTGTGTGGATTTAGGTTTTAGATTAAAAATGATGTTTTTATTACTGTACCTTTAAAGGATATATACAGGACAATCCTCCTTAGGGGGTTTTTAGTTTTTAAATATGGACTAATGAGTGAACGGTAAACTCACCGGACAAAAAATTAGTCACTTGTGACTGAAATGTACCTGAAGTGAGATTTGTCTGACCAGATAACATTTCCAGTCATGAACAGTCCAATCTTTGTGTCTCTTCGCCCACTGTAACTGGGTAACTTTGTGAGCAGAAGTTAGGCCTCTTGCATGCCCCTCTGTTCAAGGTATGCAGTTTCCTGCAAAGTGTTTTTTCAGAAATTGGTTGTGAAGGACCTGCGTTGACTTCTAGAATTGTTGCCTAGAAAAGCAAAGCGAATTTTATTCACAAGCCGTAAAACACGCCAGCAGTCCCTGTCCGTCAGTTTCATCTTTCAGCCACAATTCTGACAAGAATTTCATGTAAACTGGGGTTTTTGCCACTGCTGGTTGACCCGTATGACCGTACGCTTTGATATACCTGCAAATTCAGCTCTTTCCTTCACGCTATGGGCTTTGGCTCACCCAAATGCAATCACTCCTTTTTTGCCAATCATTAACATCTGCTTTGCAACCCATTTTCCACACATCAAACAAGACATTTACTGCACTGTACCACCTCTTCTCAATCTATGAATCCTGTCACATACCCCGCAGGTATTTCTAGCCCAGTCATCCTTGTGTAAAGCCATCTGCAGGAGCCTGAAGTTACCACCACCTTAAACATTCATGGTGACTAATTTCTTTGTCTGGGGAGCTTACATTTTTTAAAACTTTAACATCAAAATTGTTTCAGCAAGAAATTCTGAGAGGAAATTTGCACTCTTTAAAACCTAAAACTGCCCTTCATTGGCTGAAGGAAACTATTACAGATGCTAATAATATTTACTAATTTAAAGGGAATAATTTGGTGGGGTGGAGAGAATAGTCCAGGGACACTTGAGCTGTCGAGTGGCTAGTAAGAGAGATTTTGATCAAAAGCTGCTGTGGTCTCCTTAGGCTCCCCATCTCCTGTTTAGGGATTCATCACCACGTTGCCTTACACAGACCGCGCTCTTAAATTAGAACTAACATAGACCCGCAGCTCATTAATCGCTATTAAAATATTCCTCCTATTGAGCTAATTAGCCGCGTTCGGAGGCTGCAGAGCGACGTTCTACGAGCGAGAAGCAGACGGCACAGCACTCCCCCTGTTTAATTTGGCTGACCAAAGCAGCTGTGTTAACGGGAAATTATTTTAATTAACTGGATCCCGTTTTCGTGGCTAATGAGACTAGTTTGTAAGATCCTGCAGAAACGCATGCCGCTGGTATGGAGGTAAGCAGCGCTGCTCGAAATAAACGAAGAAATAACTGCGCATATAAATAAATACATAAAACAAGGAGATAGAGAGAAGCAGTACAAGATGGTGTCAAGACAATGCGGCTCTGAATGCCAAGTCCTGGCATGAGAGAGATTTGTTGCATGAAAAAATGATGGTGAAGTGAACCACAGTTCAAATTTCCTGTTCCTGCATGTTGTTTAGTCACTTTAACGCCAGGGAGAGAGATAAAATGACAAGAAATTGCATCTCCTACGGAGCAGCGTGCCACAAACTAAACATTTCTCTCAGAATTGACTGGGTCTGAAGTAAGCTGTGGAAAATGACAGGCCACAAAGGGACAGCGGGGAGCCACATCTGTCATTAGCTCATCTCTGTTGTGTTGTGTTTTGGCACATGTTCCAGTCTCCTGCTATCTGCTCCATTCAATTAGAGCAGGATCTCTTTCTTCCCATCCAGCTCGTGCCCAAACACTTTAAACGCCCGCCTTTACCCAGCTGAGCCGACTGCTAACAGTGCTGAACACGGCCTTCTCTGCTCAAACCTGCCTCACACTCCAGAGACAAACATCTACCTGAACAGGAGCGACACGATGAAGACTTCATCTCCACAGAGAAGAACGACTGCAGAAGAACGGAGAGATTTCAGAGATAAAGGGAGAATCACAGACAGTGTATTGAGGGAGGCAGAGAGAGAGAGAGAGACAGAGAGAGAGAGAGAGAGAGAGAGAGAGAGAGAGAGAGACAGAGAGAC